GGTGAGAATCTCATGGGAATCCAGGAGGTAAACCCAGTCTTGCAGGGCTTTGCGGCAGTGCTGCAATGCTTGCACCTGGACAAAGGTGTCCTCAAGCAACAAGATACAAAGGGGCTAAAAATAACTGTGTGTGTATGGTTGGGGCAAGTTACAGACAATAAGATACAGGTTAAGATAGGAAAAACCCAACTGCCACTTCTGAAGACCCAGGAGCAAAAGCAGGGTCCTGCCTGTGCCCCCTGCACTCCACACCAGCAAAGGGTGTGCAGACCATCTAAACCACCCCTCCAGCCAGCCCCCTGGACACACCCCTGTCCGCATCCCATATAAGGAACCAGCTCGACCCCCCTCGGGAGCTAGCAAGGGGACTGTTAGCTATTCTCCCTCCCTCTGGCTGCAGCAGTGGCCCCCATAAAGCCTTGCCTGAATTTCTTGACTGGCCTCTAATCAATTTCTATTGATTAAAGAGGACAAGAGCCCTGATGGGGATGACGAGTGGGGGCAGGAGCAGGCTGAGGCCTGGGGGTGACTTAGCAAAAGGGGGCTGAGAGGGAAACACCAGGTCTGGCGCCCAAGGACCTCTGCAGTGGGAGCACAGGGCCCGGAGCTGGGGGAGGACCGGGGCCCAGGGGCTGGGCCCACCAGTGACTTCCCTTAATCAAGAGCCAACGCCTTTTGTTCCCATCTGGAAGGTCCTCCAGCCCCCGGGAGGCCCCGGCTTGTTCACGACAGTGGCGTCTTTGTGCTTCTCTCTTAAATAAAACTTTTATCTTAAAAAAGAAAATGTGTCCAATGCAGTCTGTTATAATCACAGTATTCAGATCTTCCCCACTCTGGTGGGGAGGGCGAGGGGGCCGTGGGTTCACTGGGGCACAGGAGAAAAGTTCGTTCCCAATGCTGTTTCCCCCTCTGAATTTCTGTTCTAATGTATTGAAGATACACAGGAAATTTAATCTCAAAACTTGGCTTTGATTTTTTTTTTTTCCCCAGCTAACCCCTTCAGTGTTGGGAAAGACCTGGCCATGGAGCCAGGGAAACTAAAGTTTTGGATTGGGTTCCCAAGGGTTTGGGGCAGCGGGACAGAGGGCGCAGAAATCCCGAGCCCCCAGGTGCGGCCCGCGTGGGTGAAGATGCTTCCGTGTGTCCCCCACTCGCTGGGGAGGAGCCTGCGCGCCGGCTGGGAGGAGCCTGACTCACAGGCTCTTTGTGTTCCCGCAGGGCCCCGCGCAGACTCTCCCGAGGCCCCGGGCTCCGTGGCAGGTCCCGTCAGGCCGCCTTGACCCGACTTGCACTAGAGCCTGGCAGCAGCCCGAGCCTCGCAGGTCCAGGCTGGGATGGCCGTGCATACGGTGTGCGCGCGGCTCCGCGCTCACCTGGTGCGGAGCGGGAAGCCGGCCCCGAGGGCCACGTGACGCCGTGCCAAAGTGACTCTGCTCGGTGGCGGGGGCGGGGGGCTGGAAGGGGTGCGCCGGTTGGTGCCAGAAATAAAGGCGGCGTCTCCTCTAAGGACGAGGCCGCCCGCGCCGCGTGTGCAAACGCAAAAGCCTGCAAGGTCCCGGGCGCGGAAGGCAGGCTGCTCGGCGCGACCCAGGAATGAGGTCACCGCGGGGAGTGGCCGGGGGGCGGGAGGCGCGGGCGGGAGGACCTGCCCCCCGGGACCCTGCACGCCTCGGCGGCCTTGCCCATGCGGGCCTGGGGTTCCCGGCTCCCGGCCGCGCGCCTTTGTCTCGGCAGGGCCCGCGGCGTCCCCTGCTGGCTGGTCTGGGCCGCGCCTCCTTGACCTGCTCCGGATCCTGCTCCGGTTTCTTGGGAGGACGCGGCCACGCGGGTGGAGGTGGTTCCGCCTGCATCCGGATGCTACAAGCGAGTGCCCGCAGCCCCGCAGCGCCCGCAGGCCTCGCTGACCGACCGCAGGGCGCACAGACGGGGCGGGGTGGGTGGGCCGGGAGAACCCTGCTTAAACCCCCGCGCCTTTTCTTCAGGACAGAGGCCTGTGCTTGGGCCCACAAAGACCTTCTATAAAACGGACTCGTAACCTTTGCAAGATGGGATCCAAGCTGTGCAGTCTTGGCCACTTGAAGGCCTTTTAAGTCACTATACCAAAGAGCTTTAGCCTGGATTAAATGCAAAATGCCACTGCCTCACTTTTAAAAGCAAGCACAAGGGCTAAGAGCAACTCCAGACTGTAAACCGTGTGAAATAGGCACTCCGAGAGCCCTCCCTCTCCCCTCCCCCCCACGCCCCCATTTTATGCAAACGCTGTTTGCCGGAGCTTCTGGAACCCCAAATCCCGGGAACTCGCTTGTTCTGGGCTGCCACGGGGAAGGCTGGGCTCACAGAACGGGTTTTTAATCTCTGAAGGATTAGTCAGTGCGTGTCGTGGAAAAGCCGACTCCCTCCCAGCTCAGGGCGGCCCGAAGGGGTGGGCCGGGGCCTAGACCGCGGGTCCCCAGGCGGCGGCCCCTCCTCCCCGCAGCCCTTCTCTGCAGCCCCTGCCCGCAGCCCGCGCACCGTGGGTGACCCAGCAGGAAACAGGGTTCTGCCGGAGAGCTGGACTGCCATGCACCTGGCTTTCTAGAAGCAACAAATGAAAAGTCTCTTACAGGAAAAAAGGAAAAAAAGAAAGGTTAAGTCGTGAGGGAGAGGCAGAGAGCAGAATCCGCTTTTCCTGGAGACTTATAAAACTCGAACTGGAGAGGCTCCAGCCCTTCCGGGACTTGCTGCAGTAGCTAGTAAGTAGAGATTTCCACACGGAAGAAAACATCCTTCCAAACGTAGCTCGTCCACCTGGGAGAGAGGCATCGCAAAGTCCCCAGCTTTAGTGGCAAAGGGCATTATGATTTTTTGTTCCAGTTTGAAAACGGTGTGCCTTTCCATTAGGACTCGTGGATGTAAACACCGATTCCCACATGAATTGAATCAGTCCACACCCCCCACCCCGCATGCTTCAGGGAACAATGGAGGGAGCTTGCTGACAAATTATGCCTGCAGTTAATGCTCTGATTATCTGGTGAGTTAAACATAGTGGTATTAAAAGCCTGGACCTGACTCATATTTAATCTGCACTTGTGCTTTCTCCTTTTGTTTCTTCCCCAAAGATTAAAAGAAAAAAAGAATTCTGACTTGGGTCACTTGTGCCCTAAGTCTGAAACTAGCGCATGACCAGGTGGAACATGGAATGGGTGGGTGGCAGAAGCTTGTCACTGGGTATCATCGTTGGTGATTTTTTTCCCCTTTAATAAAACTATTCTGAGGAGTGACTATGAGTTAGTTGGGGCTTCCTCCTGCCCTTGCCCAGGCCGGAAAAGCCCCCAGGCAGCTGGGCAGCTCAGGGAACTTTCCTGCTCTCAGCCAGGCTTCCGTTCACTGGAATGAAAGGGAATTATGCCAGGCGTGGACGAGTCATGTTTAATTCAAGTGAAATTCATTCACTCATTTGTTCTATAAATATTTATCGAGGGCCTGTTTTGCGGCCCCTCCTGAGAAGCCAGGGCTCCTTGGGCCGGTGGTGACCCCCACGTGGCTGCCCTGGGTGCTCAGCCTGGCTCCAGGGTGTTTCTATACAAACCTGCTCCCAGAGTTCTAGGGTGCTGTGTTGGTTTTGGTTTTGGTTTTGAAAATCAGATTCTGCTTGTTTAATATAAATTCTAACACTCAACCTAATCTATCTAAAATATGTTGGTGGCATTTAACAATAATGATCAATACAGCATATTGGTTGGATGGAAGGACTAGAAGATGTTAGTGGCGTCTTTCCTTTTGGGGGGCCTACATTTTCCAAGTAACCCCCGTCCCCTGCTCATTAGTAAGCAAGGTTCCCTCCCCTCCCCCCTCTGTGCCCTCATTCCTATAATGTAAACAGCTGCTAATAGCTCCTATTTCTCTTTGTTCAAACAAACAATAGCCTTTATAACTAAGAAGAAAATTAGTATTAGGTGGAAGCCTCATTTTCGGGTTCTTAAAGGGCTCCCCTTTTTTCCCCAGAAGAATGAAATCCAGCAGTTAGAAGAAAAATTCACATTTAAAGTTTGGAAAGTGACAAGAAAAATGTGCATCCTTAATGACACATAGACACACTTATGATTGCATTTTAAATATTTTTCTTTTCTTTTCTTTAGTTTCCTAACTGAAAAGTTGTAACTTGGGGAACGAGGGTGGTCAAAGGTCTGGGGAGTCGCGGCCCCCTCCCAGATTTGGGGCAGTCTTGCCCTCTTTGTTCAAGCCCAGGGAAAGGCCCAATATCTAGGGGGCTATATTTCTTTGCCAATTTAGGGGATTACACTTATTAATGTCTAAGGAGTGCTTGGAAATGAAAGATGAGCTAAAATATGCCCGAATCCCTTGATTCCTTTCCAACATAAAAGAAATCTCTTCCTGCTTGACCTCAGGGCTTAAAAACAGCACAGTGTGATTTGAAATTTAAGTCCCTGGGAGGTGTAGGAGGACTTTGTAAACATTTTATGTTTTTCTATGAAATAGATTCAGCGGGGGGCTAAGTTTCCAGAGTAATCCACGTAGTACATGTTGGTGGGGAAAACCTTAACTTGTGTGTTGTTGCATTTTTATATACATTTTACTCTTTGTGTTTTTAACTATTATTATTCTGGAAGGCCTTGGAACAAGACCAACAGGCTGATCCTTTGTGAACCAGTGCTTTCAGAGTCGAAAAATCTTTACACTTTATTATCACTTGTTATCTTTGATATAACTTTTCTTCAGGTTTGTGGTGGAATGTGCTGTCCTCATTTTGTATTCTAATACCCATAGAAGGAGCTCCCTGCATGGCTCAGTGGTAAAAAAAATCTGCCTGGAGTGCAGGAGACCCAGGAGACTTGGGTTCATTCCCTGGGTCAGGAAGATGCCCTGGAGAAGGAAATGGCAACCTGCTGCAGTATTCTTGCCTGGAGATTCCCATGGACAGAGGAGTCTGATGGGTTACAATCCATCAGGTTGCAAGAGTCGGACAGGACTTAGCAACTAAACAATAACAACAATAAAGCCACAGAGAATAATTACACTTTCATTTTAGTTGATTCGAAGACGGGAAGGCGTCATTGAGTTCAATATTTAAGGAGATAAGAGAAAAAGTGTTCAAGAGTCTCAGGATTGCTCCTGAATCCACATTTGGTGATAAATATTAGTAGGTAAAGGCAGTGTGCTGGGCCCTAGCTGGTTGGGCCTCCTTTCTTCCTGTCCAAGCTGAATCACAAGTGCCCTGAGGTTGCAGCCACCGGTTCTAGTGAATGAGCAGAGAATCACCAGGGATGGTATTTAAAAATTAGGGTCCTCTGTGCTCCATCCTGAACGATTGTCTTCAGTAGGTCTGGGTAGGGGTCTTGGATACTGTACTTCTGGCAAACGGGGCTGATTCTGATGCAGAAAATGTTCAAGACACTTGCCGTGAGAACTAATGGAAGAATTGAATTAGGTTACTTTACAAATAAGAAATGAAAGTGATTTAGACTCTGTGTGTCTTGAAAAGCTGGAATTACACCTACTTGAGTGTCATGAACTTTGATTTGGGAAATGTCTTCACAATTCATTCAGGAATTCAGCAGTCTTTGGAAGCTGCGCTGTTTGCCTGACCGTGCCAAGCCAGAGAAGTCGGGAACGAGCTTCAGCCCCTCCTCCTCACCCTCCCCCCCTTTTAACTGTCGACTTAAATACACCCATGAGACTACGTCCACAGAGCTGGAGACGCATCTACTCACGGGAGAGTTCTGCACACTCCAACCAGCACGTGATTTATCCTCCTTTCCACACTCCGCACACAAATGGTTCTTTCTGGTTTGTAGCCAAAGCTGTTAACTGTGGCTCAGCCTTCACCTCCCGGTGACAGAAAGCCTTTACCAAACCCGTGGTCCTGTCCTGAATGCCTCTTCTTCTGATACTAGATGGTGCTACTTGTTTAGAGCCTCCTGTGAGTTAGACTTTCACACATGTGGAGTGACTGTGTCATTTATTGTTCAAACGGAGACACTTTAGAGAGTAAATGGGACAATGTTAAAGGGATGTCAGGGCAGCAGGGACCATCTGGGGCAAACCAGGATGTACTGTCCCCTGAGTTAGACATCACAACTGCCAGGGGAGTGAGGATTGTGAGGTCACAAAGCCAGGGAGGGGCCAAGATCCTTAGTCCAGATCTGGGAGACTCTGAACTGGGTTGAATAGTGTCCCCACAAATTCCTGTCCATCCAGAACTTCAAAATGTAATCTAACTCGGAAATAAGGTCTTTGAAGATGTCACTAGGTAAGACCAGGTCATCCTGGTTTAGCGTGGACCCTGTTTACAGTGACCAGTAGCCTTATAGGAAGGTCCAATGCTTTGGCCACCTGTTGCGAAGAGCTGACTCACTAAAGAGACCCTGATGCTGGGAAAGAGTGAAGGCAGGAGGAGAAGGGGACGGCAGAGGATGAGATGGTTGGACAGCATCACTGACTTGATGGACATGAGTTTGAGCAAACTCTGGGAGATAGTGGAGGACAGAGGAGCCTGGTGTGCTGCAATCCATGGGGTTGCAAAGAGTCGGACACGTCTTAGCAACTAGCAACAATGAACAACAACATCCTATGAGAAGAGAGCAGGGGACCTGGAGGCCAAGGAGGGGCCCGTGTGATGGTGGGGGCTCAGCTGGGGCCGTGAGTCCACAAGCCAAGGGGCTCCAAGGATCTGCCCAGCACAGGTTCTCCCTCAGCAAGGCGGAACTGGCTCTGCCGACACCTGCATCCTGGACTCCTGGCCTCCAGGCCTGTGAGAGCATACATCTTGGTGCTTTGAAGCCGCCAGCATGGTATCTCCCAGGCTGTGAACCAGCTCCAGGAAACTGGTCCAGACCCTAAAGGCCAGTGACCAGGTCCACCACCATCTGACACAACAGTGCCCAGGACTTCCTGGAAACCTGAGTTTACGCCCGATTATTCACTTACTTTTTATGTGAACTTTAGTAAATGACTTACTCTTGAAGACTCACTTTTCCCGTTTGTACCATGGGAATGAGGATAATTGTGCCTGCCTCATAGGCTATAGTATTGTTATTCTCTTCTTCCTTCGACACATTTATTTTATGTGGGGCTTTCCCAGAAATAAAAGACCCGGTCTCTTATGGAAAACTGCGCCTTACAAAGAACCACAGGTTAAAGTGTTGAACAAAGCATGATCTTTGCTTTTAGGGAGCTTTCAGACAAGGAAACAACTATCCCAATTTGGGTGTGGGCTTCCCCGGTGGCTCAATGGGTAAAAAATCCTCCTGCCAACGTAGGAGACACGGGAGACTCGGGTTTCATTCCTGGGTTGGGAAGATCCCCTGGAGGAGGGCATGGCAACCCACTCCAGTATTCTTGCCTGGAGAATCCCATGGACAGAGGAGCCTGGAGGGCTGTAGTCTATGGAGTCTTAGTGAAAACCCATCACCTGATGCAGAGTCTTAGTTCCTGGTACCGAAGTTGAAAGGAAAAGCGACCTTGTTCTCCTCCCAGATGGAGAGCTCGGGCCTGACCCCTGGCAGGACCTGCTGGATGCTCCCACGCGGGATCCCATTGACTCATTGACGGGAAGTGGTGCTTAGAATCTGTTCACAGTCGCTGTATTGTTGTTCGCTGTACTGTTGGCCAGACTTTTCAGGCAAAGAGAGAGCCTGCTGCTTCCTGTGCCTTGACCTTCCAGGATTCTGGATTCCTGGCAGCTTCTGAGTCCTCAGGCAGGCCCGTGGCCCTCCCTGTATTCGATCCCCCACTAGTGAACTTCTTGTACTTTAGATCGCTGGAAAGAATCAGACCACCTTTCTTTGCACTGGAGGCTGAGGGGGCCGCAGGAGAAAAAGCAACAGGAGAAGGAGGTCTGATCATGAGAGAAGGCTGCCCAGCAAATGTAGGCTTGCTTCCTGGAAGTGACCTGGCTACTCTGCTTCTTAGGATATAGCCAGAACAAGTGTGTTGTTGCAAAGACGGGGCTTGAGATGTTTCCCAGCCTCCTCCTCTTTTTCAACAGGAAAGTAGGATTTATTGCTGGGCTTGAGTAAGGAGGGGACAGCGACCAGGCTTTCTCTAGTGCAGGCCCCATTTGTCCAGAAGGCCACAATTAGGGACCTACTTGATTCCACAGCCATCCGGGATGGCTTCTCTGCCACCATGTTTTCACATTCATCTGCATGAAACTTGGTAGATCCCCACTTGGAGAAGTGGATCTTCTGGCGGCCAGGGAACTTGAACTTGGCCCCACAGAGAGCCCCAATCACATGCTGCTGCTTCTGCAGCTTGGTGTGGATGGACATTATGACTTGGCCGATGTGGACCCTGGCCACTGTGCCCCCGGGCTTTCCAAAGGCACCACACACACCTGTCTGGAGCCTAGACTGGGGCCAGCATGCCAGTCATGAAGGTCCACTGGAAAGAGTTGTCTCCGAGTTCCCTTAGGGCAATCTGTACAGGTAACAAGCTGCACACACTACCAAGAAGGCGGCTGTTTGCAGCCATTGCGCACTGGGTCCCCATGGGGAGAAGAGCACAGTCAGCTTAATTGGCTGCCAACAGCCTTCTTCTTTTTAAAGATTCGGGGTCACCATAACCCCTACCATCTTGGTTTCTTCTTTACTGTCTACTGCTGCCCCAGGCACCCACTGACAGCCTCTCACAGGCAAAAGCCACAAGGTGTTCATAGGAGGATTAGCACCTAATGGATGCCTGCCCCCAAAATGCTGGAAGAACTAAAAGATCATGGTATTGAAAGGGGCACCTTTGGAGAAAAAGCCAAGCAAGCACCTGCCATTGCTTATGGGGCTACAATTAGATCACATAAGATTCTGCACATAAACCTTTGTATCTGTTGATGAATCTAGTTGGGAATTCTGCCTGCTCACCATGGTATTAAAATATACCATCCTACAAACAGAGATGGTTCTTCCATAGCAGGTGGCTGAGATTGTAGATTATAAATTTAACACTTAAACCCAGATCGATCGCCTCCCAAGTCAGTGCTCTTTGTGTTAGAACCATTGCCAGACTCCTCCTGGTTCTCCCTCTCATAGTGACGTATCAGAGGGGAGAGCAGAGGCGGGGGATGGGGTGGGCTAGCCCGTTATTTGGAGACTGAGTCGCAGGGTACACTCAGTGTTTTAAGACCTTAAATAAGTTTCTTTATGTACCTCTGCCTCTTAAAGAGATGGGACTATCAGACCACCTTACCTGCCTCCTGAGAAATCTGTATGCAGGTCAAGAAGCAACAGTGAGAACCGGACATGGAACAACAGACTGGTTCCAAATTGGGAAAGGAGTACATCAAGGCTGTATATTGTCACCTTGCTTATTTAACTTACATGCAGAGTACATCATGTGAAATGCCAGACTGGATGAAGTGCAAGCTGGAATCAAGATTTCCCAGGAGACATATCAATAATCCCAGATACACAGATGACACCACCTTTATGGCAGAAAGCAAGAAGGAACAAAAAAGCCTCTTAATGAAAGTGAAAAAGGAGAGTGAAAGAGCTGGCTTAAAACTCAACATTCAAAAAACTAAGATCATGGCATACAGTCCCATCACTTCATGACAAANAGAGTCAGACATGACTGAGCGACTGAACTGAACTGAACTGAACCGCTTCAGTTCCACATCAGACAGGAAGGGAAATTGTACAGTAACTCTCTAATATGATCTTGTTGTATTCCAGAAAAATCATATAAAGGAAGAAAGTCAGTAAAGATCCTCTATTTTGTATGATTTTGCCAATATCTTCTGTGGAAAAATTTATAAATCATTATCATTCTGGTTCACGGTCGTGTTTTTTTTTTTTTAAGACAGAAATGCATATATTTGTGAATTCAGCCACTTAGTTACTCTCATTATTACTGAATGGTAATCATGAGGGTTGGGAATCATTTATAATTCCCTTGTGCAGAGCATATCCTCTGAGCCAAGCGAGTCGCCTTCTGTGAAGATGGGAGGCAAGTGCTGGGACAGCCCAGACTGGACAAGGGGAAAATCAAGGTTTGCAGGTGGAGAAAGAAAGCAAGTCGATGGCCAGTTCTGTGGTTCATAAACCCAAAGGAGATATCGAAAGTATATGAGATACAAAGAATAATGTTATGAACATCCAAGTCTAACCACTCAGCTTAAGCGTTAGAATTGGACCAGTATTGCTGAAGGCCATAGTTGATTTGTTCACATATGTGTGTGTGTTTGTGTTTTATGTTCCTTATTCACTTAATTTTGTGATTCTTATTCACTTAGTTTTCTTCGTAATTCTTACACATAGCAATGCACCCTCAAACCTTATATTGCTTAGTCTTGCATAGTTTTGAATTCTCCATAAGTAGTGCACTATTGTAAGCACTTTGTTCTTTTCTTGCCTGTTTGGGATGCTGTCTGTGGGTGTTGATGCACATAACTCTTACTCATTTCCACTGTTATGTAGAATTCCATGGGCTTCCCAGGTAGCACTAGTGGTAAAGGATCTGCCTGTCAATGCAGAAGACGAAAGAGACACAGGTTCGATCCCTGGGTTGGGAACATGTCTTGAAGGAGGGCATGGCAACCCACTCCAGTATTCTTGCCTGGAGAATCCCATGGACAGAGGAGCCTGATGGGCTACAGTCCATAGAGTTGCAAAGAGTCAGACATAACTGAAGCAACTTAGTACACACAGGCACATAGAATTCCGTTGCATGAATACACGGTAACTTGTTTACCAATAGGAACTTTTATTTTTTTCTCTTTTTTATTGCTCACACTATTATGGTATTTCAATATTAGTTATACATACATAATTATTATACATTATTATTCCTAACTTGTAAACATTCTCTGAACATAGGCTCGGGTACATAAAAGACTACACTGTGAATCGATTAGTTTTCTCCACAGTTTCTTTGCAGACCAGAGGTCTGAGAGCCGAGGTTGTTGGCAATGTCCTCCTTTAGCCTCACTGTACCTCCCTTTAAAATCAGTCACCTGTTCTTCAAATAATATTTTCTCTCAACTGTGCCCCCAACTAGATGTCAAAACCTTAATGCTATCAAATGGTGTCTTTTGACATCAAAACATCAATTTATGTCAACTGTAATTTAACCTAAAGCTGAGCTGCCAT